AAGCGATTATCCTGCTCACAAACTTCACTTCGGAATACCAACATCTCAGCCGGGGCACCTCACTCGCTTCCCTAGAGGACACCGCAGAGGTCAGTAATGCTCTGACCCTCTCCGATACAAGCTCGACAATTTCCGTGACGGAAGAGGCTGCTCCCGCATTCGATGTAAACCCTGCTTTGTCTCGGGAAAAACAGGACCGACTACAGCACCTACTTCAACGCTACCACGACTCTTTCTCGTCTTCTTCGAAAATCCGGCAAACCCCGATTGCAAGACATCGAATCATAACTAACGAGGACGCACGCCCCCTCCGACAATCTCCTTATCGAGTTTCATTCAAGGAGCGCGAGGCAATTCAACATCAAGTTAAAGAGATGCTCTCTGACGACATTATTCAACCCTCGAAAAGCCCTTGGGCGTCGCCTGTCGTTCTTGTGAAGAAAAAAGATGGCACCCTCAGGTTCTGCGTTGATTATCGCCGGCTAAACAAAATCACTAAGAAGGACGTGTATCCTTTGCCCCGAATCGACGACACTCTAGACCGATTAAGCCACGCGAAATACTTCTCTTCGATGGACCTCAAGACGGGATATTGGCAGATCGAGGTCGACGAGAGGGATCGGGAGAAAACGGCCTTCATAACCCCCGACGGGCTGTATGAGTTTAAAGTCATGCCCTTCGGCCTCTGCTCAGCGCCAGCAACGTTTCAAAGAGTTATGGACACTGTGTTGGCAGAGCTCAAATGGCAGACCTGCCTCGTATATCTCGATGATGTTGTCGTGTTCTCGACGCACTTCGATGAACACCTACGGAGACTGGAAATGGTACTCGAAGCAATTAAGTCTTCAGGACTAACACTTAAGACGGAGAAGTGCCACTTCGCTTACGAGGAACTAAAATTTCTCGGACACATCGTTAGCGGAAGTGGAGTTCATCCGGATCCCCAGAAAACTGCAGCTATTGCACGTTTCCCGCAGCCAGCCGACAAAAAAGCTGTTCGTAGGTTTCTAGGCATTTGCGCCTATTACAGACGTTTTGTCAAGGGCTGTTCTCAACTTGCCGAGCCCCTCATGCGCTTGACGCACGATGATGTACCGTTTACCTGGGAGTCAAAGCAAGCAGACGCATTCCGGGAGCTTCAGCAGCGCCTACAGTCGCCCCCGTTACTGGCCCACTACGACGAGAACGCCGAAACAGCAGTTCATACCGACGCCAGCTCTGTAGGCCTCGGCGCCGTTCTTGTTCAACACCAGAACGGACTTGAGCAAGTTATCGCCTACGCCAGCCGCGCTTTGTCAAAAGCCGAAAAAAACTACTCCACGACTGAAAGGGAATGCCTTGCCATCATATGGGCGATTTCCAAATTTCGGCCCTACCTATATGGCAAGCCTTTCAAGGTAATCACTGATCACCACTCTTTGTGTTGGCTCGCCAGTTTAAAGGACCCCTCCGGACGCCTCGCACGCTGGAGCTTGAGGTTGCAGGAGTTTGACTTCATAGTCCTACACAAGTCGGGACGCAAACACTCCGACGCCGACTGCCTTTCGCGTGCACCTGTCGACCCACCACCAGAAAACACGGACGACGAAGACACGTTTCTATGTGCGATTAGTGCTAGTACCCTCGCTTAGCAACAACGAGCTGATCCAGACCTAAACAAGCTTATCGACTACCTCGAAGGCAAAACCACCATAGTCCCAAGAGTCTTCAAGCGCGGCGTATCCACATTTTGTCTGCGAAACGACATGCTCGTAAAGAAGAATTTCGCCCCTAACAAGGCACAGTACCTTCTCGTGGTCCCCACAGCCCTCCGCGACGAAATCCTTCAAGCGGCGCATGACGAGCCAACATCGGGACATCTGGGATTTACGCGTACTCTCGGCAGGATCCATGAACGCTACTTCTGGCCTCGCCTCGCAACCAACGTCGCTCACTACGTACGCACTTGCCGAGAATGCCAACGCCGAAAAGCGCCTCCTACAAGACCTTCAGGACTGTTGAAGCCCATAGAGCCGCCCATGCAGCCCTTCCAACAAGTAGGAATGGATTTGCTGGGTCCTTTTCCTACTTCTGCTACCGGTAACAAATGGATTATCGTGGCTACCGACTACCTAACCCGCTTCGCCGAAACACAGGCCCTTCCCAGCGGCACCTCTATGGAAGTAGCACGATTCTTCGTGCATGCGATCCTCCTGCGACATGGTGCTCCCGAGGTCGTCATCACAGATCGAGGAACAGCCTTCACGGCCGAGCTCATGCAAGCCATTCTGCACTTCAGCCAAACCGCTCACCGCCGGACAACTGCCTACCACCCCCAAACAAATGGCTTGACTGAGCGCCTCAACAGGACCCTCGCAGACATGCTATCAATGTATGTGGACGTCGAACATACAACGTGGGACGAAATTTTACCTTATGTTACTTTCGCGTACAACACGGCAACGCAAGAGACGACAGGAATGACGCCATTCAGTTTCGTATACGGAAGAGCGGCCAAAAGTACACTAGACGCCATGTTACCATACGTTCAAGACGACGTCCATCCCGACGACGTGGATACGTTCCTCCAACGCGCAGAAGAAGCCCGCCAGCTAGCAAAGATCCGAATTCAAGACCAGCAACAACGCGACGCCCGACGCTACAACCTTCGACGAAATGACGCACAATACCAACCTGGCGACCAAGTTTGGGTATGGACCCCCATTCGCCAACGAGGTCGCAGCGAGAAACTCCTCCGTCGCTACTTCGGCCCGTACAAGGTCGTCCGCCGTCTTGGACAATTAACCTACGCGGTCATGCCCCAAGAAAACTCGCCATCACGGCGACGCCATTCACACCCAGAAGTTGTTCATGTAGTCCGCCTGAAACCAAACTATGCCAGGTAGACGTTGAAAGAACATACGTGCCCGTCTATTCCCGCGAAGATTTACCTTCAAGCATCGGGTCGCTGCTTCCTTTAAAGGGGGGGATAGTGCCACAGTTAACAAACACCTCGATTGTTCGCGCATGACAGCGCGCCTCGGTCCTTTTCGGTTCGGCACGGGGCTCGCGCCTGGCGCTCTCTCGTGCCCCGCGCAATCTCGAAGAGCCGCCAGCAGATCGACCGGACCGGCCCTTCGCCTTTTTTCTCTTTGATCCTGCTTTGCAGTACGCTCATTAAACCCTTCTTGGGTCCTACCACTGCCAACGTCTCCTTCGCCTACGTGACAATATTCACAAAAACAAAAAAGCAACCCAGTTAAGTTAATTTTTTGTAAATATCTTTTTTCCTTAACCCATATATGCCTAGTGAACTAAATTTAGGGCACTGCTTTGCGAAATAATTACTTTTTGTAAAATTCAAACTGAAAACAAGCGCCACTTGCAACATCATTACGATCTTCTGTTCTCGGCGTGGACAAGTCTGGATAACACTCGGACCAGCGATCACCACGTGGTAACGTTTGAAACTCGACTGACGGACGCCCTTGATGAGAGGAAACATGCTGCCGAAATAAAAATGAGTAATGACATTGTGTTTCCTATTACATTGTTTATAATATGCTAAGTACCTCTTTGTTGTGAGTCAGGTGAATGCCAAGGTTATAAATAACTTCTAGAGTGGAGGGGGCGCCCTCGCGCTGACGTCGACGACTCGCCATCTTGCGAAGGGAAAAAAGCGCCGTGAACCGTCGTAGCCTCCGTAAAAAGAGGTCAAGGCGTAGAGCGATTTCTCGATTGATTGGTGGCATGGATTGATCGAGGTATTACGCGCCCTGCTGGAAATGGGCAGATGGAAATGAGGCCAAAATTCACATTGAACCAATGTGCAACTGTAGGTTCAGGCCCATTGAGCAATATGCATTTACGGAACAAAAATCCATGTGCACCCATTGGTAATCCCTTAAGGAACTCACATTGGGCTGATGTCATTTATGAAACAAAAACCAATGAGCGGCAATTGGCAACAGGTACCCCAGTGCACATTGCATTGAGGGTATTTATGGGGCAAAAACCAATGAGCGACAATTGGCAACAACCACTCCTGTGCACATTGGGCTGATGTTATTTATGAAACAAAAACCAATGAGCAGCAATTGGCAACAGGTACCCCAGTGCACATTGCATTGAGGGTATTTATGGGGCAAAAACCAATGAGCAACAATTGGCAACAACCACTCCTGTGCACATTGTGTTGATGGTATTTATAAGGCGAAAACCAATGAGCGGCGATTGGCAACAGGTGCTCCTGTGCACATTGGGTTGAGGGTATTTATGGGGCAAAAAGCAATGAGCGGCTATTGGTGACAGACACCCCTGTGCACATTGGGTTGATGGTATTTATGGGGTGAAACCCAATAAACTGCAATTGGCAATATGCACCCCTGTGCACATTGCGTGGACAGCATTTATGGGGCGAAAACCAATGAGCTGGAATTGACAAGAGATGCCCCTGTGCACATTAGGTTAGTCAAAAACCAGGCCCTTTAAAAAAATATAATGCATGTGTATGCATTTCTGGGACAAAATCCCATAGGTTTTTATCACTGCTCAGATGCCAAGTGCGCTCCAGTTGGAGAAATCCATGGAACATCCTGAAACATATGTATGCATAATGCCATTGCAATTTAGAAAATAAAAAGCTAACTTTGGAGATGTGGCAGTGATATTCACTTGGCCCCAATGAGCATGAAAAACAATACAATGTGCACAGAACAAATCCTGCTTTTTATGATAGGCACCTACAAAAAAATGGAGTCATTTAACAGCATAGTTCTCTTTTCATTCTACGTCTTCCTTCTGCCACATACCAGTACAGGGTCTAACTTAGATTTTAGAAGGTCTAACAGATTTGACTCTTGCATAGCTCTGAGCCATATTTAAACAATTTCAGACTTGTCAGTCGGGAAATCCTTTCGAACATGGCATTAAATTTCAACTCAGGAGCAGAATTTCAATCTTGTGCACACTATCTTTTGTCTTTCATGCTTGCCAGAGGGGTTGCTGAGAGAAAACAAATGTTGAACACATGTGCTCATTTTATTTCACAACTTACATGAATAAACAGAAAAGTGACTGGCGATAAGACACCCCATAAGGCCTGCATAAAATTCAAGTTGTACTGTACTTAGGCACACAAAAAATGTTTCTTTACGCTTTTGGTAAATGTAGGAAATCTTCAGTTAAATTCGTCCAAAACAAATCTAGTTGAACATTGCATCCACTGTTCAATTCACATAGGAGGTCAACAAACACTGAAATTGACTAAGAGAAAATAAAGTATCTGCTCATCAGCGTCACGTCAAGTTGGCGCTGGTTGGACACAATAAATGGAGAATTGTTCTTTTATGCTTTTGGTAACACGAAAAATGTTAGTTATTTAGTGTTTGGTGTTCATTCTTGACGGACCCAAGTAAGGAGCTGCATGGAGAAAAGTTTCCTTTTCACTCAAAGCAAGACATCAACTTTCGGCTTTAAAAAGCTTCACTAAAAACGTTGGAGCAGGGCAAAAAGGAGCTACACAAAAAAAAAATTCCACATGTGATTAGTGAGTCCTGCACCTGAGAAGTTCTTTGCTCCTATGTCTTACTTGAACACACCAAAAATTAAAAATCCAACTTTTTGTAACCAGAAGTCAAAAAGATACATTAAGTGGTCAAGGTGGTCTTCACTTGTTCCCTCGAGGCAACTGCAGACAGGGGCATTGCGAAGAGAGGAAGGCAGGTGTTAGCTGCCTGTCTCCGTCTTACTCATCAAAAAGGTTCTTCTTTACTCGATTGCAATCTCTGATCGTGCTGATGACGTGGCTATTCATGTGTTCCATTCGTTCGACCAAGATGTCCCCACTTGCTCCATGTTGCCTGAGCCAGTCTTCATAGCAATCTAGATAAAAAAAACATTTTAAAAAGAAAGCCGTTATAAGACTGGTCCCAAGCACTCCTCAAAGGCAGTCCAAAATAACAAAAGTGGATCGCATGAAAATTTAGCTGCATAAAAAGAAGCATCTGAGAAAGTGTGGTACTGGCTTGGGTTCAAACCCGCGTCCCTTCAGTTGTGACCCACACTGCTAAGCTACTGTGGCACGTTAAAAGAAATTTTGAAACATTTCAGATGGCTGCGATGTTATGTGTGACCGCTTGCGCAAATATGGTGGGTGTGTGTGTGTGTGCCTACTACCTTGCATCTCAGTAAACGCAGATACTGAAGGAGGCAGGGTAAAAAAATAGGGTGTGCAACTGCAATAGACGAGACTTTTGCCTTCTACTCCCGCTCAAGCACTGGCTTTAGCAGGGCCTTAATTCAGAGACACTGTTTCAACAAGCTGAGGTTTCCCAAATAATTATTTTATATTAACACAATATGTGTTTAGACTAAAAAACCTTGTCACTATGTTATGATAAAGATTAATGAAAACTATCAGTTCTCATATTTGACCTGGACCGAGTATGGTGGCTTAGTAAATGTAACAGAACGTGAAGCATAGGTATGTCCAGTTTTTATGTTATAGACGCTTTACACACGCGCCAAATTACAGCCGCCATAGCCGACCTTCTCTTGTCTTACCGAGATGCCGAGCAACTGAAACGGTAGTTGACGATCCTCTACAAAGGCCGATGCTTTAGAAAAGGACACAGTTGAATATAATGTGGCAATAACCTGGCCTGTCATGGTAATGATGAAGTGAAATAAACGCAATAAGAGGAAACAAAAACTGAAGGTCAGTTATGACGGCGTCCATGCCCATCTGCTGCAAAGCGTCTATAGGGACGGACTCATCTTCAGAGACTGCTTAGGACCCCAAGTGATCCCTCCTCCTATTCAATCAGCCTGTCTCTTTAGGGCAATAAGTGGAATCAGCCAAGGCTAATAGCTTGAATAGGGCACCATGTTTTTCTTTTTTTAGGTACAAGGTAAGCTTATGTATTGTACATAGTCCTCTGATATGGCCGGCACACCGACTGCAGTCACATATTGTGTGTCTTTTCCGACAGTCCGTCAAGAATTTATATTTTGACTGCCTCCCTTGGCAGTTACATATAATAACCAGATCTTCTAGAATTCTTCCTGTCATATCCCAGCTTTGTCCTACGTGACCACCTGATATATAACTACACATCACCTTCGGCACTATATTACGAATTTGATGCCTGTACGTACCCCTCCGTAAACAGGAGATTTCAATGATTTTGTCTGCTTATTCATAGACAGGCCAGAAGACTGGCCAGCTGCAGTATGACCCAGAAATTTGTGGTCATGGTCGCAAGCGGTAACCTAGTGCTCTTGAATATAATATTGAAGAGCAGACAGTTTTTGAACATACTTGTTATTGAAATGTCCTACCTCAAATATACCGTATTTACACGCATATTGGTCGATACGTCGTACAGGTCGACCCCCTAACTTCGGGACCCCCGAAAAAAAAAAAAAAAAAGTTGAAAAATATAATATCGGGATTCGCATATTGGTCGACCCCCCAGTTTTGATGAGGCGATTTTTGAAAAACAGGTCGACCTATACGCGAGTAAATACGGTATTTCACAAAGATTATAGAACTTACTAGATGCAGACACTAAAAATTAAGTGGACAAAGTTAATTGAACGAACAAAATAATTGGGAAAAATTAAATGTATAGGGAGAAGGGGACTTTACAAATGGGATTTCATAAAATATTTGCACTGTTAGCATTACTACTGAATGCTTTTGCTTGAAATTACCGCAAGCTGCCATGAAATTACGAACCTTCCAATGCAGCAACCTTCTCAGGCGTTAGCTGTGGTTTTTGCATGCCAACCGCACGGCCACGATTTGCTGGCTTGCCTTGCGTTGATCGTTGCTGAAGAGACTCTTTACCCCACATAGCAACTGTGAGGTTACGTACGAACAAGGATTCTTTCTTCTGTCGCTGGCATGTCAACCACTGAGTGAGGGCTATCGTCGCTACGTTGTTGATACACACCTGCAATTGTAAAGTTAAATGAACATGAAATTATTTTAATAATTCAAATATGCAGATGAATGAAGCATACTGATTATATGAAAAAAAAAACAACAACATTAGAAACCGCAAAAAAGCAAATAAATGAAAGAAAACTTTTTTGCATCCAGGTATCGAACACCGGGTCTTCCAATATGTTTAGAGGATCTTGGGCAAGTGATGCACATCAACCTTAGCTAAAAATAATGGCTACTATACTTTCGAAATTGTGAAAATGCACAAGGCACAGCAAAGTTAGGTTTTGCCAGAGTCTGCATCCTGAATCCACCTTTTTTTCATGGACCCGGACAAAAGTTCACTATTTTCTGACTGCACCTGAACAGAGGCTTAACGAGGCAAAAATAGTGTCTTTATCACCTATTTTCATACGAGGACTGAATCTTTGTTTCTGGGGGCCAAAAAGTTCAAGTAGAATTGTCTTGAGGTTTCAATTTCGTATTAAACCCTTATAAAACAACAGAAAAGCGAAAGTAGTGGCCAATTTCATTTCTACTCTACGACATTATATGCAGGCCACTGCATGTAACACACTTGTGCCACATCCTTTAGGCTAACTTGTTGCACAAGGCTGCTTTCATTTCCAACTGTACACAACCAATTCAATTATTAATTTATCTTATTATTAATTTATCTTAAAATTAGTCAGAGCATGAAAAATAAGCAATAACTATGTTAATAACCAATCATGTTTGTCTGCCAGTTATTGGCCTGGTTAGCTTTTGTCTGGGTCCGTGGGAATACTGAGCATTTGTCCTGCGAGTTTTCGTCCAGTTACCCCTGATCTCTGAACGGGAGCTGCATATACTTAAAACAGCCTACATGGCTTATTAGCAAACCTTTTCTCAGCAATGTATAATGGAGATTTTATATTTTATTTATTTAATTTTCGTAAATAAGCGAACCAGCTGAGACAATAGATTTATCAATAGACTAACATCTATCGATGGAAAAATAACCTTATACAATGGAAAAAAAACCAATTTAGGGCTCGAACTTACCGTTTCGCCGTTGGTCGTCAAGCGCGCCTTTTTTGGGATGGGTTCTGTACACTGCTTTGCCGAGAGCACTGGAAAACATCATAGCAAGGTAGCTTCAACTGTGCCATTGCCAAAAATGTTCACATTAGGCTAATTGACACCTTCGCTCCTGGTTTACAATTGTTAATACAAGAAACTGAAAATGACAAGGGCAATGAAAAAAAGCTGCTGGTTGGAGAAAAATGACGCTTCTATACCAGAGCTGGTCAGAGTGGGTCGCGGAGCCTCAGGGAGACAACGAAGATCCAAAAGCGCTTTGTCACTGCTTCAAATGTCTTATCATCAGTTTCGAAGAGCAAGCGCAAAGGGAATATGGAAGTTGTCGAGTGCTTGGGAGCATTTTTGTCGAAAGAGCAACGCGAACCCGATGTCTAACAGAGCTGTCGAAGTTTGCCTGCCCTTCACGTCAATGTACCTGAACGAATCGGCGCTTTCAGCCTTGGCAACCAGAACAAAAAAACGGTCACATGCCTGTGAGGCCAGACCCCCAGCTAGCGCATTTCCAAAAATTAAATCATAATTTCTGCAGTAGAAAAGATAACGCAAGCACCTGTCACTCTGATCACATGCAATTACATCGTAATTAAGGGCGATGCTCAGTCTCTACGGTGTTACATACCTCAGGAAGCCAGAGCAGTAGTGACTGCAGCATGTTGCTGTTTATACATTTTAAATTTTTCTTATAAACTTCGAACCTTTATGTTCGAACTCCATCAAGAATTAATAACTTTATTACAGTAGAACCTCGTTGGTATGTTCCCGGTTGATACGTTTTCACGGCTGTTACGTTCATAAGTGCCGGTCCTGTTAACTCCCATAGAAATACATATACTAGTTTCCCGTCTGTTGCGTTTGATTTCCAGGTTGTTACGTCCAAAATCTGCCCCTCGGCACTCCCGAACCCGCGATCCTGGGAGTGGCGGATTTCCGGTCTTCCGTTGGCAACATATGCCTCTCGGCCTCTGTTGGAGTCTTCAAATCATCTAGTCAAATCCGAATCCAAATCCGTTTGAATCTACAGCGGCCAGCGAGCGAGCGATGATGCGATTAGAGTCCGTTGAACTCACTGGTTTCTAGTGCGTGTTTTAGTTCTTGGATCTTAACACGGATTATGTTCCTGTCGGACGTTTTGATGGAAATGATGGCAATGCAGCGGGCTCAGTGTGACGCCCGTTTATAGGCTTCGGGAGCGGAGCAAGAGCTGAGAAAAACTTGATCGCTGCTCGTCGTGAATGAGTACAGTTGTCAGAAATCGTATTGGAAACGATTTCTAGCAAAATAAAGGTACCGTTTTATTTCTCAATTAGCCTCACACGACGTTCGTGGTTCTATTTTCCCTACTGAGCAATATGAAAAGTTGCCCCTCGAAGTAGCAATCGTGGTCGTGCTTTAATAGGGTAGATACGGTAGAGGTTGAGTGCTAGTTCTAAACAACTGTGCCGAAAAAGAATGCCCAGCTATATGGTAACTAACATGGTAGTTCTCCGAACCCCCAAAAGCCATTCTGGTGTAAATCCCAGTGTGAGGGTTGCTCCCCGTCACATCTCTAGTTCCACCAACAGCATTATCGGTTGTTACATTTTCCCGGGTGATGCAATTTTTTTTCTACGGTCGCTGAAAAGCACGCTGAGGTTCTACTGTATCTATTGATATCTCATTGGTTCAGTAAGGGGCAGAGAGACCTTATCTTCACGAAAACAAATAAAGCAGTTCAGAAAAAAATAGAATGTGAGCCCCTTATATGTACAATCGGCACAAAAGGAACTGAAAACGGTAGACTGATAGTTTTTGGCACACTGCCGGCGCTACGCTGAAGCTTGAGATGCAGCGAGTGCAGCAGGTCTAACACATCGGAGTAGTTTCTGTTAGTCCCTTGATTGGCTGGCCCCAAGCTACAGAGTAGCACTGGTGGCGAGTAGAAAACCATCGGCCTGCCGTTCACCTTTCAGTTCGTGCCAACTGTACTTTTGCTAAGACCAGGACATGTGAACTGATGCCTTTTTCTCAATTCATGAAGCTTAAATATTTATTCCTAGCACTACTTTGCCAAAGTGAGAAAGCTGCTTCAAAATTTCTTTTAAAATAGTCAAACACACATTTACTGGAAAGTAGGGAAACATACCACTGGTACTTTTATCGAGTTTCTTCTCGATCTGTTCCAGCCTTGAAATAATTTCCTCAAACTGACTTGGCCCAGCTGTTTTCGGATTGTCAATTTTCGTGTTTAGCTCCTTAATGCTCTCCTTCGCTCGGCGATACTTGGCAACAAGTTCCTGGTAAACCTTCTCGGGCACAACTGCACCGTCATCACTGTCTGAGCAAGAGGTTCCATGATCACTAAAGAGAGGGCTGTTTCGCTTCTGCTGCAGCTTCATGGACAACACTTTCCTCATGGCTGCTGCAGTTGCCATTTTTGCAGACTTCTGATGTGCCTGTGGGTCAAAATGTAAATAAAACTTGCTTTATGACACCATATTTTAACATATGGCTAGCCTGCCCTGTCTTCTCTCCTGCAACCCATGTTGTAGATAGCCTTTTGTTTTGTTTTATTTTTCACCACGGGTCATTAAATCTAAATTGGTTGGATTCCCAATGTGGTTCCAATCCCATCATAGCTAGGTTACTTGCCTCTCAAGGTTGACAATGTTTTGCGGTCGCCTCTGAGCCTTTATGCATCACTGGAGTCAGTCAAAGCAGTAAAAATATACATAGTAAAACCAAATTTAAATTTGTAGACAATAACTGGCTTGCAGTTAATTAACAAATATTTGCTCATTAGCTGCCTAATTGCACAAGCAACAATTCTCCAAGTGTCTGCCAGTTTGAGTAAGCAAATTGTAAAATAAATTAGAAGCATCCTAATGGAATTTTCCTTTTGTTAAAAATACTGGACCGCCTAAAAGAACCATATTATCATTACTATACTTCGTCTCACCCTAGCATGGGCTAACCGCAAATGCTGTGCTGGCACGAAACGGTAGCCTTGATTGCGTTGACTGGCGCTCGCACTGCACGAGCGTTTGTGTGGCCTGCGAGGCGTCATCCAAGGCAATTAGCTCTTTTAGCACATGCAGCCAACAATAGTCCATGCTAAGGTAAGACAAAGTATATGCAAGGAGTTTCATGTAAGACTGACAAAAATATTAATGAAAGGGAACTAGCATTATGGCACTTTTAAGGGGGGACACTACCGTGAATTGCACCTTTTTTTTTTAAATGCATATTCAGAACTGCAAAGTTTTGGCATGTATGGATAACAAAGAACACTCTCACAAACTCTTGTCAGTGTGCACTGACAATCAATGTCAAAAATAATTATTGTTTTCATGTTGGTGAGGTGTGCTACACTGCGTAGCACTCGCCATCCACAAGTGAAAATAGCTGAAAGCAATGTCAGTAAATCAGAAGTTTGAGGAAGACATCACCCACACTACTGGAAAGAATTTCTGACATTTAAGACGCAAAAATAAATTTTTAAAACGTCATCATGAAACTTCAAGTGCATTTATCTCAGCTTCACTTTTTAGTGTCAAATATCAGTTCAGGGAAGCTGTCATTTCATAATCAAAATTATGCGTGCAGATATATTTCGGTTTTTCTATATTGAAATTTTCTGGAGAACACGACTGTGAACTTACTTTCTGCATTTTTATGCTCTTTTGTTATGAAAAGTTTATATTACTTTTAAATCAAATGTACACCAAAAAAAAACTTCTTTCCATATTTTTTTCATGAATAAATTTCGTAATTTTTGAAATTTCTTTTCATAGTCGTTTGAAACAAGTATTCTGCTGTATGTTCCAGCCAAAAAACTGGCCATTTCCATTACCCTTTTTAAACGATAGCTTTCCTCAGCAGATACACTTTTTTATTATGAACTTTTATGTAACTCATCAGGGGATAAATTTATAGGGTTGAAAATGTCCACAGCATCCTTGTCCAGTGCTATGAGTACACCCTGCAAATTTCATGCAATAAGACAAACGGTTCGAAAGTTAGCCTTCCGGAGTAGTGTTTCCCCTAAAAACTTGCCGGGCATCCTCGAAAAACACTAAATCAGTCAAATTAGGAAGATTGGGTGCAGGTGTACCATTTTTCTGGGCCCTGAAAATGTACCAAAATGCTTAGCGCATGCAAAGATTTTTTGTTTCTTATCATCAGTACACTTTATATGCACTTGCAATCTCTCTCAAATTGACTGATATAGGGGTTTTCGAATATGGCCAAGTTTCTCATCAAAAGCTTTGGTGTATGTCTAATAATTAAAAAAGTAAATTATGCAAAACTATTTAACAGATTAATTACCGTAATCGCTATGTGCAGGGTGTCGAACCGAAATCTTTTCCGGTTACGGTTTGAGTTACGGTTCAGACATATTGGTTCGGTTCAGGTTCGGCTCCAGAACCAAAAGAATAACAGTCAAACCAGTGTGAACTCGTTCATAACGGTTCAGCTACCACCTACTACAAATTTGTTTCAAAATTTGACAGCACGGCTAGACCATATTGAGGTCGAGCTTCAATTCTTTAAATACATTATGTGCCCTCAAGTGAGAAATTAAAAAAGTTAATACATTTTAGTTAATCAACCAATTACCTAATTTCACCTTTTTTCTAAAGGCCGCCATGGCCATCAACATTGCCCCAGGGCTCAAATTAAGTTTTAGATGTACTTTGAAGGTTAAACAATTGTTTTGCATAAGCATGGAATCACCTCTCTGAAACAATTGTCTCTATGATCCAGTTTTATTTTCCTTTAGAAGATCACTAACTTATATGTCTTGATGTTATGTTCTAGCCGATATTTCGTACTCACGTTCTGTACTTTTTCTATTGCAAACTTACGTAATGACTTCGAGCCTTTAAGGGAACAGGGTAGGCCCTATTCCTTCCATGTGTTTTAGCCTATGTATGTGACCCTTTTTCTTGGGATCTACTAGTGCTAGAGGATTCATGTTGGTATCATTGTATTTAGCTTTCTGTGTTCTCTTTACTGAACTAGAATTATTTTTATACATATTTTATTTTTTTGCTTTTGCTTTTACTAGACCCTCCTAATTTGAATGCCAAAATGGACCATAAACAGCTTGTGAAACAAAATTGCCTAGATAAATTTTTATAATTCTAGTTCAGTAGACTCCCCCTTGTGTGGTCTTGTTAGTGGGAAAAAAATATACTTCTAGTTTTTATGGTTTCAGAGAAAAAGGGTCAAACGTCGCAAAAAAATGACGTTTTGAGATAATTGGCTTTGAAGTGAAAATGCTGTATGTGGGGGAGGGGGAGAGGAGGTCCCAGCAAAATTGAAGATTTCGGGGGGGCCTGGGCCCCATGGGCCTCCCCCCTGGATATGTGCCTGACATACACACAGAAAAAGAAAATCGCCAATTTGCACTGTTCGAGAAAAATATTTAACATTTTAGTCAGAACTTGCGGGAATCATAGGTGACGTTGGTCTACACTAGACAAGGAAGATGGCGGCCGTATTAACTTGACCGACTTGATGGTGATGGTGCCAGCACGCATGGCCTGATCGCATACCCACGAATCTTGAGAAGACGACGCCACGAAATTGAAGATAATTATTTGTTTTGTTTTTTTCCATATGTGCCTAATGGTGCCATGGGGAAACCGTGGGAATTCATTTGGCCTGACATCTCATTGGGGGCACAAAGAACTACACAAAGTGATGGATACAAAGGTATAACCATTCAAACTCTCTCCCCTTATAACTGAATGCAGTGAAGAAGGCACTCACGGAAGTTTGGACACCAGAAAGGAGGACCAAATTAAGTCAGTGCAAGCTGTTATATAGATGAATTGCTTGCTGGAACCAAATCGGTTCTTGTTGGAAAAGTTGAGGCAACAGCAGGGTCTCAAGAAATAAAGTACTTACCATTGGGCTTTCTGGAAGGGTTCTACAATCATTTTCCTTTGTGTCTTCAGGTGAAGAGTTGAGTACTTTCGGGACAGAAATCCTTTTGCCCCCTTGAAGCCGAGCCTCAATCTCTGTCTTTGTCTCTACACAGTCACATATTAAAATAATCAGAGAGTTAATGGCTCTGCTTGAATAAGATGATGCACATGAGTGCAGTTGACATGTTTGTTTTTGTTCATATTTTATCTTTTACCCCCAAATGTGTGAAGGGAATGTAACCAAAAACGTTTTGCATGAAATTAAATATCTAAAAAATATTTTGGTCGAGATGGTATCTACAGTTTCGACTTCTTTCATTTGTCATGTCTAGTCCCCTAATTCTTAGAAAAATAAAATCTCCAAGAAATCTTTAAAAAAATATATATTTTTGGGAAGTATGGGAGGTCGGTGCCACTAACTATTTCCTCCACACAATCTAATTAGAGTATGCTCTTTAGTATATGCCTCCTTACATATAAAAATTAAGTATACAGGGCATTTTTTTTTAGCTGCACTTAATTTTCACAAAAAAGTAAACGTGATAGGGTAATTTTGAGCCCTGGGGCAGTGTTGATGTCCATGGTGGCCTCTAGAAAAAAAAGTTGAAATTTGATACTTAGTTAGTGAACTAAAATGTTTTAATTAACTTTTTAATTTTTCGCCCGAGGGTGCATAATAGATTTAGAGAATTGAAACTCAACATCAATACGGTCTAGCCGTGACATCAAATTTTGATTACAAATTCGTAGTAGACGCTAAGGGGTAGGCTGTCTGGTAAACAGCGCGAGACCGAAACTAAGCGAGGGAAGAGCACCGGTGATTTCATTACTCCGCCCTTTCAAGCATGCCGATTGGCATTATCGCAATGAGAGCAAGCAAGCAGAGCCTGCTTGCTCTCCCCTCCAAAGATTGTATGCTGCTCATGCGCAGTGCCCATGCCCGATGTACCCAGAAGCCGCTTGTTTGTAAACAGTGTGCTCTCCCGTGCTCCTGTATAGACACCAAGTTTATATAAACATCACGTTAAATTGTACAAAAAATATGAGCTTTTCATGCTTGTAGTTTAGATAAAATATGATAAAAATGAAAGAAGTCAAAAATGGAGTACTATCTTGATGCAAAGAAATATTTTTAGATTGAAATATTTATTCTTATGTTAAACTTTTTGTTTATGTTCACTTCACACACTGGGGAGTAACCTATAAAGCTGTAAGGAAACACAAAAGTGTCAAATGTACTTCTGTGCATCAATGCAAACAGAGAGTAATCTAACTCTACTAGTAGCTGCTCACAAGGACGGTCAATATTGTCACGAATGACAAGTGATGAGGCGGTAATAACTGAAGAAACTAAACGTTTAATGGGGCAAACTTGTGCCCAAAAATAAAAGGAAAAAAAAAAGGTAACAACAGAGCGTCGCGGGCGTCGAAGGCGGCGAAGCAGCAGGATCAAACGCTGAGGCGAAACTGACTTTGGCTCACCACGCGAAACCCCTTATGTACACGCGTGGGCT